AAAAAAATAAGGATTTTTTTAAATTATTACCCAAAAATTTAATTAAAAATGAAATTTTAAAAATGAAATAAATAATATAAATGTTATTTCATTAAAAGAAAAAGAATTAACAACAATTTTAAATTGAAAAACAAAATGAAGAAAAAAGGTTGGACATCCCAAACAAAAAGTTGGACTAGGTCGAAAAAAGTCTGACTAATAATTGGCGATTGTTTCACATACATAGTCGGCTTGGCCGACTTTTCTTGTTGGAATTCAGGATTTCCGATGAGAACAAGGTCATATATTGCAAAAAAATAAAAATAAAAATAAAATAAAAATAAAAATAAAAAACACTTAAATGATGTCTACACTCAATAACCTATCTAAATAATGAAGAATAAACATTATAAAGATAATAAATCCAAAATTTTTTGAAACATAGTAAATAAAAAATTAATTACATAATTCTAAAAAACTAATATTGTTGAAGATAATGATCAAGTTGAGTGATAGTCGGCTTTAGGTTGACTGTTTTGATTGGATCCCGACTGTCGACCTTTTGAGTTATTTCTAAATTTCTTTTTTTCTCTCCACTCAAATGGTAAGTTGAAAATCAGGGTATTTTGGACTATGAAATTTAATTTAATCATTTTTAGATTTTAACCTTTTTTTTATTATTTTGATTGTCAAAGGTCATCATGGAAATATGGCATCCTTGTATTTCCTCGTGTAAGCTAGACTGTTTTCAAAAATTCTTTTTTAATGTAGGCCTGTATGAGTAAATCCCTCAAATTTACGAAAGACATAAAAGAAGAATGTACCCCAAAAGCGTTGATTGTAGTATGGCAAAATCGGGCAGGTAGAGAGAGCGCGTTGTCAGAGCTTCCTCCGCTTTTCTGGCAACTGAAGAAAACCGACCGGCTGTAGTGTGGTGAAGAACGAGATGAAACTGCAAACCTAGAACGAAGAGTGATTCTAAGTAATAAGATCAGTTGATTTGTTAGTTGAGTGTGATTCGTGTGATTCGCATCGAGATGGGCTGGGGAAGGGCGGTGTTCGAAGGAGTGGTGGCTGTGGGGTCACTGTTGTTGCTTGGATGGGCGGGGCTGTGGTTCTTGAACCGGAGGCTTTACAAAGAGTACGAAGAGAAACGGGCATTGGTTCAGATCATTTTCAGCGTCGTTTTTGCATTTTCTTGCAACCTCTTCCAGCTCGTGCTCTTCGAGATCATTCCTATTCTATCCAAAGAGTAAGCTATTCCTAGCTTTATTTCTATTACCGTTCTGATATTAATCTGAAAAATTCGCACGTATTAAGGATTAAATTAATGTATATTCTTCTAGATACCCCTTTTTTGTACCGACATTCGCTAGATCGCTTGGTTGAACACTTGAACTTAGGTACTATAAAGAATAGTTGCCAGATTGAGTTAACGTTTCACATGTAATGTTTACAATGTTGTTGAATATTATAAAGAAAGGCTCCACGATGACGCTACTATCATTCTTTTACTTTCCTGGAGACTCCATGGTACTATTGTGGTAGCGTTTCCTGTAGGCTGAAGGGCAAGATGGATGAATTGGAAGGTGGATTTGTTTTCTCTGATGGTACATTATTTGAAAATTGCAGCAGTTAAATGCTATAAACTGGCCGTGTTCATATGGTATTATATTAATGTATTTTCTTCTGGATTGATCCATCTTTCTACTGACATTTGCAAGATCATTTGATTGAACCTAGATGCCATAAGAATTGTTTATAGTTTGGCTTAATTTTTCACATTTAAGGTCAGGTAAGTTAAAATTGCATTGAACCTTACAAAAATGGCTTCATGATGATGCTACCATAAGTTTTTCAGTTTTGAGTTTTATAGAGGCGGTTGCTTGAACGTGACAGCATTTCCTATTGTCTATAGGGCAAGATGGATGAATTGGAAGGTGGATCTGTTTTGTCTGATTATGCTACTTGTCTTCATGTTGCCTTACTATCATTGTTACTTGATGCTTTGCAACAGCGGTAAGTAAATAATCACAACCTCTTCTTTCAAAGAAAATTTTATCCACTCTGAATATCATTTTTATATTTTGAAATGATATTACCATTAGAGTTTATTTGTTGTCACTGGGGGGGGGGGGGGGGGGGGGGGGTGGGGGGGGGGGGGGATGGGGGATGGTAGCTAGGTAGTTACATTTTTCTGATCTGCCATAACATTTTACTAATAAATTCTTGCTTGGCATAGAGAAATTTCATTGCTTTAACAATAATAGCCCCTCCATGTTCGGAGTCAAGTTCAGTTCAACATTTCTCATTCCTAAATATCTTTTGAGCTTTTTTCATTATTCTTAAATCCATATTGCTAAGAGAGAAAACTTGAAGATTGGGAACCAAAGTAGTGGTCTGTACTGTTTTCTTTTTCCTTGAAGTAAATTTTTTGTAATTATTGTTGTCTTATTCTTTTATTATTATTTTTATTATTCCTTTTCAGGTGTTAGAAAAGAACGGGCTGGAATTGGTGCTGTCTTATTTTTGTTGGCTTTTCTCTATGGTTTTTGGCGCATGGGCATTCACTTTCCAATGCCTTCTCCAGATAAAGGTTTGCGTGTAATTTTTGATGTTGTCAAAGGGATGAAATATCTTCTAAGCATGTTCTGGATATGGTTTTATGTCCTTATTTTCCTGCATTATTACAACACCTTTTTTTTTTTTTGGAATTCTTAGGATTTTTCACGATACCTCAGTTGGTGAGCAGAATTGGGGTCATTGGTGTGACTGTCATGGCTGTCCTTTCTGGCTTTGGAGCAGTGAATTTACCATACAGCTACCTATCTCTCTTCATTCGGTAAGGATAATATTAGATCTATTACATAAGTTAACTTTAATGAGTTGAAGCACTCAATTTCCTTAAGTATATCTTGAAATCCTGATATTTCACATGGGGGATGCTTTGTGCTCTGTGCTATTGATTTGAAATTCAATTGCTTCCTGTACATGTTCTTTTAAGTTAAGTTGTCAACGGAATATTATGTTTATATTTAAGTAGATTCAAGTGTTAAAGTTTCAGTTAAATAATTAGTTAGACCAATCAATCAGTCTTTGGACGAACTTATAATATAAATTGAAATGAGACCCCGGTGTAAATTATTGGTTGATGACATAGTTTTAGTTGACGGGACTAGGAAGGGGTCAAATTGTGTTAGAAATTTAGTGAATTACTCGAAGGATTTCAGTTGAGAGAACTAAGGAGTACGGGACTGTCTTTTTAGTAATAATAGGGATAAGGATTACACTGGAGTAATTATGAGGATTGTGTTGTTCAGTATTTAGTTTTTATTATTAATAAGAAAGATGACTTAAAAGGTGATGTAACATATGTAGAGCCGATTGGATGAAATATAGAACTATTGTGAATCTCCTAGATCTTTTAATGTAAAGGCAAGTTCTAAACAACTAGACTTGCTAGGCTTTATGATAGTGTTGAGTTCCTAAAGTATAAAATGTCCATGAGATGAACATAGTGGAAATTATGATTTTAAGATTAATGTGTGGCTATACTAAAATGGGTATGATAAGAAATGATAATACACTCTAGTGAGTAGTGGTGGCGGCAATTGAGAATAATAAGGAAATGACAACTTAGGTAACATGGATATGCCTTGCTTAGACATAAAGAAACTCTTGTTTGCAACAGCGATGTAATCTCATTAATACAAGTTAAAAAAGAGAGAAGTAGACCAAAATAAATATCTTTTGTTGTGGTTCCAAAGATTATATTGAATCTTCTGGTAGAAGTACCAAAGGCCTCAACAGAGCGGAAAAAAGATTCATATAGTTGACCTTATAAATATTTGGGATAAAAATTAGCTTGTTGTTAAAGAATTTAGTCGACATCAAAATATGTCACTGCAATAGCAATTCTAACTTTTGATCTATTAAACAGTGTTTTGAAGCAGGGCTTAAAATGATTGATTATTACTATTATTATTATTATTATTATTATTATTATTTTGGGGGTAAAAGTCTTGATTTTTGAACCCGTTCTTGATTAACCTGCAAGGGAAAAAATTATGCCAGCAGGAATGCTCCTGAACATGTTGCTGAATTCTATAAATATCGTGTGGTCACCGCTTAACCTTGTCCCAAAAAGAAATCACACTTACCCGCAGAATTGAAAAATTGATGAAATTATGTGTATTTCATGACTACTGAGATTTCCTAGTTTTGTCATTTCATTTTTCCTTTTTGCAGAGAAATCGAGGACTCAGAAATCAAGGCACTGGAAAGACAGCTAATGCAGTCCATTGAGACTTGCATTGCAAAGAAAAAGAAGATAATTCTTTATCAAATGGAGATGGAGCGAATCCAAGGGTCAGAAGAGGTTCACTTATCTTGCTATATGTGTTAACCAGTTCTTTTTTTTTGTTTGTGAAATTTCTTATAATGAAACAGAATCAGATTGCATAAGAAATGAATTTTGTAGGTAAAAATTTCTAATTCTAGATATGTTATGGAGTTGTGAATATCAATAAAAAAGTTGTAGCTTATTAGTGGACCCATCTAATATATAGTACATTAGGTTTTGTCTCTAAATGGTCGAGATAATCTTATAGATGCATTGCTGTGCAAGTCGACAAGTTTCATTTTTTCGCAGAATGATATTTTTCAATTACACGGCTGGGAAATGTTTTCTTATTCTATGGTACCTTTTCTGGCCTCTATGCTTGTTTTCAACAATATGATAGTGGGATTACGTGGGGAAAAAGTAATGAAATCTGCTTTGTAAGATTCTTTCACGAGCTTTTAACTTATATTGTTGCTCACTATAACTTTTATGTGACAGAAATCAAATACTAGGTCCTTTCTAAAACGGATAGTTGGAACTGTTGTTCGATCTGTTCAAGACGATCAAAAGGAACAAGGTTGGTTTTACATTAAAATATAACCCCTCCATAAAAGTTCAATTTAATATTTATTTATTTATTAAAGATGTATGAAAAGCTTGCATTAAAGAATGGTCTTTTTCATCCATCTATATTCAGTTTGTGTTGTTACTTTGGCCTCAAATCAGACTTACCTATCACCTTTGTCTATTGTTGTTTTTTGCATTTTTTGTAATTTGAGCCCTGTTTTTGTTAGTTGAATGACTCTTCTCCAGGCATGTCGTTTTCCTCTAATCCATGGAAGGACTTGTTTGGAAAAGAGAAGGCCTTTCTATAATAACAAACCAAGTTGTATTTCCGATTAATTTAGGGTGGTTAACAATATGGATTCTTTTTTACCACTATATTCCAGCAATATAGTTATTGGAAATTCAATGTTATTAAATCCTTTGGACGACATAAGGCCATGTTAAATTTGGTTTACACCTTCCTCTAAAACCTGCTCTATTGGATTACAAATATGGGTGAGAGCTTCATTAAGTATACAAAAGACATGTCTTGACCCCCTAAATTGTCCCTCTCTTATTTTATATTCGATTTGTGCACTCGTCACTTGTTGGCATTTATTTACATATATTACTTTATTCATTATGGTATGACCGCACATTCATTATATTCCACTACATCCATCTTATAAATTTTTTGTTCAGTAACAACCAACATTCAACACCATGGAACTACAATTAGCCCCCGTTTGAGCCCCATTATTTCTCATTACATTAAATTAAAATTTTCTCTCACCTACTTTTAACCACACAATTTTCAATAAAATAATATTAGACGTAAATCAAAAACTTTTCAATCACTCATTTTTCAAAAAAACACTATTCATCTCATTATAATGTACAAATAATAGGGCTCAAACGGCCCCTTAGTGTAATAACCATATTGTAGAACTTGCCTTTTGATATTGTCTCTTTCAATGACATTGAATGCTTGTTGCACTTGTCCACTTCATCCGAACTGCTATGATCCTATGCATTGCATCCTACTTGAGTTTTTCTTCCTTTTTAATAATTGAACCTAAATTTCTAATTCACTCTTTGAAACAACATGGCCCTCTAAATTGACTCCACTATTACCCTTATTCACGGCATGTGTAAAATTTCATTGATCTATTACGTATCTCTTCTTAATCTAATCTTTATAGACTGAAAAAGTACTCCAAACTCTAAGTTGTGATTTGTTCCCTACTACACCTCTCCTGAAATTATCTAATGAAGAAATAATGTAAACCAAGGAATATTGTCTTTGATATGCCTTATAAGCTCATCCTTGACTAAAATGATAATATGGAAACTTGAGACAGAACTTTGATAGAGGCCTACAGTAACACAAAATTCTATACCCCTACTGTAGTTATGGCTAGCACATGTGTTTGCTTTATTGACATCTACTTATTAATACTCGCATTTTTTAATAGATATGTGTGTTGGGTGTAGCACCCACCATAACATGTCCCTGATCATTCTACTATAGGCATCTCAATAAAAATTGAGTGCAAACCTTGTTTCTTTCTCTATACTTTTCTATCAAGCTCCTAGCTTTGATAGTACACCCCTTTGTCATAAAACTGAATTGGTTATCTAAGACATTTGAATTAATCTTAATATATGCCGAATCACCCTCTCCCATAATTTCATAGTATTAATCACGAGTTAATTAATTTCGTAATTCATCCCATGTCGAATGTTTTCTTTATCTAACAAGTATGCATTGTAACACTCTTCTTCCATCCGTATGAAATCTTTTTAACATTTAAGATCTCATTGAATAATTTTATGTATCATAAAATACCCACCTCATCCATGGACTTCTTTACTTGTATAGGAATCCATGTGGATCAATTGTTTTTATCATCTTTATCCTTTTTCGCTATTAAATGTAACTTTTTGGTTTTCATCATTAATACACTCGATTAGGTTCTCTACTTCCCTTCACCCTTTAGCGAGGTATGTTGTAAATAGCTTTCTCCATCCTTATTAATTGCTCACACGTTTCCGCATGAGATTCCTGGATCACTCTCATGGTTTCTCGCTTAGCTAACTTATATTTTTAAAAGCTGATGCATTTTTTTATTTTGCTAAGCCAATCTTACATGAAACCATTCTCCTCAAGCAATCCTGTATCTTCACACTCCCTCCTACTCAGGAATCCGCCGCCACTTCCCAACCTGCTGCTGATAGCATGATGCTTTTCTCAATTTTCCTCTCCTAACCATCATCTTCCATCCTTTCCCTCCGCAGAGCAGCCGCCTTTCTGACTGCTACCTTCCTCACTGCCATTTTCTGGCCTTTTGCCTTTCCACCCACATACGTTCACCTGCTGAACCGTACTTCTTCCGTTAGAGGAAGTAACAATCACAATTTTAGTGTAACTTGGATGCAGAAGAAAGAAGAATAAACCAAACCTCGCATTTGTGATGCTTTCTTTCTTTGTTCCTTTTTTTAAACTTTTTCTGACATTTCTTTTTTTTCTTAGAGTGGTGTGGTTTGGAATCATTTGGCTTTACAAGACACATAACCCAACACATATCTTTAGTTCTTGGTCTCTTGGCTTTTATTTTTATAGTGGCACATAACCACACTTTTGGCATATCTAATTTTTTAGAAGTGAACTAGCTTTATCCAACTTGATCGAAAGCGTTAAGAAATACACTATAATTCTTGTTCTTATACATTTTTCATTTTGTTTAACTAAAATCTATCCTTCTAGAAAGCCTTAAGTAGCAAAGAAATCTTGGGGTTTGGACAGGGTTGATTTAGCAATCTTGGTTTATACATCTGTGGGTGCATCTACCCCTTTGGGCTTTCACAGTCTCTCTCTGTTACCAATTTTGGTCCCTTTTTTTTTTTTTTTTTTTTTTTTTTTGGTTTAACTAAAATCTATCCTTATGTTCGTGTTTGCTCCTTTCTTTATGAAGACATAAAAAACATGGAAGCAGAGGTACAAGCTTTGGAGGAGCTTGGAAAGCAACTTTTCCTGGAAATCTATGAGCTTCGCCAAGCTAAGGTCTACATTGTGCTGTTTCCTTCTCTTTTTATATAGCAAGCTTATTCTTTTATCATTTCTTATATGTCAATTTAGATCTGTTCTTTTCATGAATAGCACAAGCTTCTGAAATAGGGAAGTAATGACTGTTACTTTTACAAACTAATATCAAGTTGAATTCCAAGCCATGCTAAAAAAGTATATCATATCTGAGCATATGGGAGAGCACTGGGACATAATAAAAATGATGCAGAAAGCTAAAAATGGGAGCAAATGGGATGCAAAAGTATTTATCCTGAAGATGGAAGGTCCTTATCTACTGGTAATGGGACAGTACAGTTTCAGGAGCACGTGGTTGAAGCATACTGAATGAGGGCAATACTGGTGTGCATGAATTACATAATTAGGATTAGTCTTCAGGCATCAATTAGGTAGAAATTTGACATGGGTACCATGTGTGTGAAGGTTTGTATTCATTCTCATGGCAGTTTAGCATGTAATCACATGGCATTTCAGAGATCACATTAACCCCAAAAACAGTTCAGAATAATTAAAATATTGCAAGGAACTTGGCAATGTAAAAAAAACCCGAATAATTTTTGAAAAATTTCTCCCTTTTTTTATTCTATGGTGCCCTGTCATATATCTATACAATCTTATAGTCTACAAGGAAATTAAATAAATTACAATCTCCAAAAATAGCATATCTAATTTATTCCAAAATTAACTTAAATATATACGGTAACAACCACCCTCAAATTGATGCTGGGAAGTCAACCAGCAACAATTTGCCAACAAGAAATTGATGTCGCTGTCGAGTCAATGCTTTGGTGAAGACATCCGCCACTTGAATGTTAGAAGAAATGTAGGAAAGGGAGATGACCTGATCCTCCAAAGCATCACGAATAAAATGACAATCAACCTCAATGTGCTTGTTGCTTTCATGGAAGACGGGATATTTACAATTTGAATAGCACTAGTGTTGTCCGCATGAAGAGGAGTAGAATTAGTTTGAGAAAGCCCAAGCTCTTTGAGTAGACCACGTAACCAAATAATTTCAGAACAAGCCGTGGACATGGCACGATACTCAGCTTCAGTAGATGATTTAGAAACACGATCTTGTTTCTTACATTTCCAAGAGATCAACGCATGGCCCAAAAACATACACCAACCCGTAGTTGAGCGACGCGTATCTGGATACCTAGTCCAATCAGCATCACTATAGACAGAAAGTTGAAAAGTAGACCCTCTAGGAAAGAACAACCCACGAGTAGGTGATCCACGAAGATAACGAACCATGCGGAGAACAGCAGCCAGATGAAGATGTCGAGGATTAGACATAAACTGACTGACTTGATGAACGGCATAGGAAATATCTAGACGAGTGGTGGTCAAATAGATAAGACTCCCAACTAAGCTGCGATATAGGGTAGGATCATCCAGAAGATCCCCTTCATCTTTCCTGTACTTTACATTTACTTTTATTGGAGTGTCCACCGAAGAAGAGTCTCCGAACCCAGCTAACGCAATAAGATCCTGAACATACTTATGCTGATTTAAGAAAATACCATTTGCCCGATGATGAACTTCCAGTCCCAAAAAATATGTAAGCTCACCCAGGTCTTTCATATGGAAAGTAGCATGTAAAAACTGTTGAAGCTTCGTAATTAAACCGCAATCAGTGCCCGTAATGATGATGTCATCCACATAAACCAAAAGAAGCACAATACCCATTGTAGATTTCCGGAAGAAAAGTGAATAATCATGTCGACTCTGTATAAAATTGAAGTTAAGAAGTGTGTGACGAAACTTCTCAAACCACGCCCGAGATGCCTGCTTGAGGCTATACAGAGAACTGCGTAATCTATAGACATCACGAGATGAAGAGGTAGGCATACCAGAGGGAAGTGTCATATAAATCTCCTCGTGAAGATCGCCATGAAGAAAGGCGTTCTTCACATCCATTTGATGTAGGACACATGATTGTGAGGCAGCAATAGCTAAGATTGTTTGAACTGTGGTTATTTTTGCAGCAGGAGCAAATGTTTCCTCATGATCGACCCCATATTTTTGGCTATTACCAAGAGCTACAAGACAAGCTTTGTATCGATCCAACGACCCGTTAGAGTGAAGTTTCACAAAAAAACCCACTTACTCCCAATAGGTTTCACATTCGGAGGACAAGACACAACGTTCCAAGTGTGGTTCCCATTCTCCTGAAGTGCCCGAAGTTCTGCTTTCATTGCATTTTATCAACACTCGTGTTCCATGGCTTGTTTGTAGCAAGAGGGAATGGAAATAGTAGATAAAGTAGCAACAAGAGAAGTAAGAGATGAGAAGTCATACCGATCAGGTGGTCGAGAAGGACGTGTAGACTGACGAAGATTGGTGGGAACCGTAGCAGGATCAGGTGTTGGGTCGAGATCTTGAGGGGGCTCACGAGGGCGCCGTTCATACACAAGACCAGGTTTATATTGTGCCTCAGTAGTTGGGGAATCAGGGAAGCTAGGGAGAATAGATAAAGATGTGGATGATAGCTTAGCATGAGAAGAAAAGAAATATTGATTTTCTAAAAAAACCACATTCCTAGAGATATGAATATGTTGAGTATGAGGGTCATAACAAACAAATCCCTTTTCAGAGATAGCATAACCAAGAAACGCACATTTAATAGACTGAGCAATTAGCTTATATCACTCATGGGCAGCAAGATGCACAAAACAAACACAACCAAATATACGAAGATTAGAATATGAAGTTGAATTTCCAAACAACCTAAAGAAAGGAGAAACATGATTTAATGTAGGAGAGGTTAAGCGATTAATTAAATGAACCGAAGTAAAAAGTGCTTCACACCGAAATCGAGGAGGCGCGAGTGACGCAAATAAAAGTGTTCTTACCATATCTAGAATTTGACGATTTTTTCTCTCAGCAACACCATTTTGCTGCGGTGTCGAAGGACAAGAACGTTGGGAGATGATACACTTGCTTTGAAGAAAGTCTTGAAATTCGTTGGACATATATTCACATCCTGAATCAGATCATAAGATCTTGATGTCACTAGAGAATTGAGTCTCAAGAAGGGCAAGAAAACGCTTAAAGACTAAAAAGACTTTGGCTTTGGCTCTTAAAAAATACACCCAAGTGAAACGACTAAAATCATCGATGAATGTAACAAAATACTTATAACTCGCATGAGAAATATGGGGTGAAATCCCCCAAACATCACTGTGAATAATATCAAAACATTGTGAGGCGCGAGAGCCATGAGAGGGAAAAGGTAGGACTTTACTTTTGTCAACTTTGCATGCAGTACATTCAAAAGAAAGATCAAGAGAAGAATATCTTTTATTTTCTAATTAATCAGAATTAAATAAAGTACGGAGTACATTTGAGTTTGGGTGGCCTAAACGGTTATCCATAACTTATTTCCAAGACTAGCAGTACATGCAAAAGAAAGTAAAGGAGAACGAGGGGGAATTGGGGAAGTAGAGATATCCAAGGGAAACAGACGTCCCACTTTAGGCTCCTTCGCGATCTTCCCGGACACTGAATCTTGCACAACACAACTAGAACGAGAAAAATGGACGTTAAAATTGTGATCAATCAATTGCCCAACAGAGATCGGATTAGTTGAAAGATTAGGAGACATAAAAACATTAGTTAAGGAAGAGGAAAGGTCACCAATGGCGCTGAGAGGCAAAAAACTGTCATCAATCGTGTGAATGTTTAGATTGCCATCATACTTTTTCATATTTGAAAGAGGAGTAATAGTATTAGTCATATGGTTGGAGGCGCCAAAATCAAAGAACCACGACTTAGAAGAAACTGGAAGAGTACTTGAGAGTCCAAAAGCAGAATTGATCATCTGTTGTACCATTTCAGAAGTGAGTGTGGATGGATTGGTAGAGGCAGCAGAAATAAGAGTATGAACCACGTGTGAGGCAGCAGGCAATGCAGCAGAGCTAGAGACACCAGTGGAGGTATGATAGGCAGCAGTAGACTTCCTTTTAGGGCGAATAGAACAAACAGAGATGTGATGACCTTGTTTCTTGCAGTAACAATATTTCTTAGCACAATTCCGAGCAATATGACCAAAAATTTTACAGTTATAGCATTGGACGACACGCATGTCCCGACCTTTATTCCTCCCTTGTGTTGCATAAGCTACTGGAACAGGTGTATTAACAGTAGCCCTGTGTTCCATGGCAGCCTGAGTTAAGATACGTTGCTCCTTACACAGTAGTTCCCCAAGCAGGCATCCAGAGATGGTACATGATGGCGATTCATCAAATTAGAACGTGTAGCCTCAAAATCTGGATGTAGCTTCATTAAGAATTGATCCCTTTTGCTTGTCTCATGCATTGTCTAAACGGCAGATAGAGCTGCAGCGGGAACATTAGCATAAACAATATTAGAATATTTAGATCAAAAATTTTGAAAACCAGAAAAATATTCCTCAATGGAGAGACTCCCTTATGTAAAATCAGCCAATTCATATTCCAACTGAAAACGACGGGTTGTGTTGTCTTGCTTGTAAACCTTACTAAGGTAATCCCACATATCAGCAGTAGTTTTGTAAGGTCGTAGGTTGAGAACAAGGTGAGGTTCAACTGAGCTTAGAATCCAGGTCATAACCCGAGCATCCTTGATTTCCCATTTAGACAAAGCCTCTTTATCTTCTTCAGGGGTGGGATCACTTCCATCAAGATGACCTCACAATTCTGTCTTTGACAAATAATTGAAATTGAAATTCCCGAGCTGAGTAATTTTTGCTATTAAAACGTATGGGAAATAGTTTCAATTTATCCGAGGACATAATGGAATAAATTATCCTACAAATATATAAAATTAATCAACCCGAAGCAACCAAGTGAAACCAAGAAAAAAAAAGGACAACCCACCAAGTTAAGGACCAATCTATAACTTTATGAAAAAAAAAAAAACAAAAAAAAAAAAAAAAAAAAATAAAATCAATCGTCCTTTATCAAATCCACACGCAGTCAAGCGGCGACCAGATATTACCAGAAAACCCTTGACTGGCGCGCCCGGAGAAGAGGCCGAATCTACTAGTGACACCCGAACTTGAGAAAAGAGAAGAGGCCGAATCTACCAGCGAGAACCCGACTTGAAGCTTCGATCGTGAGACCATCAGAATCGGAAAAATGCAACACTGAGGGCCGGAATCCACACAACCCTAATATGACACATCGATAAAGAAGAAGGCGATGTGAGTGACCGGAGTCCAGGTGCAAAAAAATCACAGCTCTGATACCATGTCAAAAAAACCCAAATAATTTTTGAAAAATTTCTCCCTTTTTTATTCTATCGTGCCCTATTATATATCTATACAATCTTATAGTCTACGAGGAAATTAAATAAATTACAATATCCAAAAATAGCATATCTAATCTATTCCAAAATTAACTTAAATATATACGGTAACAGGCAGATCACCTAAGACCTTGATAACAAAATAAATTGCTATAGTAATATAGTATGCTTGTGCTTTTGCATTTAAAAAGGAGCAAGTCCCTAAAGTTTCAATTTCGTTCCACCGCAAATCCCTCTAGACAAATTTTGCCAAAAAATCTGTGAAAATGACAAATTTTATTAAAAAGATGTTTATATACCCTTTATTCTCAATTAAAACATTGTATAATAAATAAAGAACAAAAAATAAATCAATGGAGATATTGGAAACAGAAATACATAATTGTTTAGTCGATGTCAGCAGCAGTGGCTAGAGATTTGTTGACTAAAATTATCTAGTCGGACTAACAGAGACTGACTTGCTCCTTTCTAAATGTTGGGACCAAGATGCTTTAAACACTGAAACCTGGGGCACTGTAATGTTCTCAAGAATTCATGTTGTAAGGTGTGATAAAATTTTAGATCGTAACCTTCATCTTTTCCCTATGATTGAGATCGACTATGAATAAACATAGTCAAAGCTAATCTCGTATTTTTATCAAAGTTCAGAATATATGCACCAGGGGAGTCATTTGGCTCCATAATTTTAATTAGATTTTGAACAAGTTAAGTTTTAATTAAATGACTGAGAAATGTTTGGAGCTCATCTCAGATTTACATTATATATTTAACTACTACATATAATTTGAAATGACCAAATGATTCTACCGTTTAGCTTGTCTAGAGTTTGTTTAAGTAACCAATACACGACCAACAAAACTTAAGAAACCAAAACTTATTTGCTATCCATTGAAAAAATTGTATCATCATCATTGTAATTTGTACAGTTCTAATGAAAACCCATAGGATGTATCCAAAACAAATTTAACATTTTAAAGATTTTTGTATCCTTGCATTGTTTCAAAACTTTTATTCTTTGTTAGATCACACCCTACTACATTCCTGGCTCCACCTCTCTTTGCCCAGGGACTAAATTCGCTACAGCTGCTGATAGCTTGTAATGATGAACTGTATTCTTTTTCCATTTTCTGATGTGATTTTGCTGCAATATTTTCAGGAGGCTGCTGCTTATTCTCGAACCTGGAAGGGTCACATGCAAAATCTTTTGGGCTATGTTTGTTCAGTATATTGCGTGTATAAAATGATTAAGGTGCCGAAATTATCTCATCTGAGAAGTTTGCTTATTTCCTTCCCTCCCCCACAGCTGATTCAATTGTGAAAACTGTTCCTTTCAACTAATTCTTGCACAAGCGACAGAGAGATTTTTAATACATCTATTTAATTGTGCATGTTATGTGAAGAATTGTGTTTTGAATTTCTGATTAGTACTCTAGGTGGTAGTATAATAATAATAATAATAATAATAATAATAATAATAATAATAAATTACTTGGTTCTTTCGTGGGTTCTTCCACACGTTGTTTCTGTTTTGAGTTTCTATTTAAAATTATGTATCGTGGCAAGTAATCTTAAAGATAAAATATTTGTTAACCTGGTATTTTTAAGTTCTACTAACACACTATCACATTTGGACACAAGATTTTTTTTCCTTGTGAGGCAAGATCTTGATTTTCTCAATTTCTAAATTCTGACTATGTGAATTCTATTTTTTATTTTTTATATTTTTATTTTATTTATTTTTATTTTTTTGGTGCAGTCTTTGCAAAGTGTTGTCTTCAGGCAGGTAATATTTTGCTCTCTCTTTTTGGTCATTTCCATCTATATTTTCTGTTTAATTATATGATTTCAACCTCAATTCATCTTGTGGCAAGACTGCGTGATATATAATTGAAACAAACTCTCTTCAGGCTGGTTCTGCTGATCCAGCGACCATGATAATTAGCATTTTCCTACAGTTTTTCGACATAGGCATCAACGTCACTTTATTATCACAGGTAGTGTTTCCTTTTCATTATTTGATTGTATCGGCCATTTGTTTGTACCATGTGTGCTTGCCTTTTTTAGTTATTTCTATATAGATCATGGATATAGAGGTTACCTGATTGTTGAACCAAACGAATGTTAAACTGCAAGATCAAGGTTAAACTTTAGTTCTGTTTTTTTACTAGTCTAGGAGTAACAGCACAGCTTTTGAGGACTAGTCCCCAAATAGGTCCAAAAATAAGTACTTTTGAGCAAAGATCACTGCAACTAGAAAAGCAAATCAAGGAAATTCCTTGAAGAACTCCTGAAGCCGTTGTCTATAGGAAATTGTGAACAAATGTAATCCCACAGAAAATGAACCCAAGTAATCCGTTTCTAGGAGATCCTGTCTGTATCCAAATGCAGCAGGAAATATCCATCATAATGCCCTACCTTCACGTTTCACCTGGTTAGGTATAAACAAATTGCCCAATTGGGTGTGTAATATGTTTTCTACTGTATTCTGACTAATGAATACCGTGGCACCAAATATTAATTTTTATATTTTAATCAGTTATTGGTGCTGGCTTTTGGTTTTTCCATAATTTTGATACCTAATATTTCATGATTCTCTTGTTACTTTGTAAGGGAAAAATGGTTTCTATAAATACTTACCTTTTCAACTATTATCTGAATCTCTGTGCTAATTCACTCCAAGACGTCTGGACTGGGTGAGAGGGAGCGTTAGAACTTTTTTCTATCAATTACCAGAATAAAGGCTTAATCTTTAAAATTTACTCTTAATTCCTTAAACTTGTCATCAAGTATTCTCCTCCCTGGGCCATTGCCTTCTCTTTTTGACAATGCAGGTCGTGAGATTTTCTGTTCATTTTGTGCCCTTGGATTGGAAAACTTGGCCAGCTTTTTCCATTATAGCGTTTTTGAGGCTAGAGAACTGGAAAGAATATTGAGTTGAAACTATGTGCTACTTCTAAAATTGAGTATGTTAAGAAAAGTAGGCCAATCAGGAGATCATCAGAATGCCTTTCAACATTACGACTCTGTTAGATCAATGTATAATAAGCTAAACACTTCTTAGCCTGAATCAATCATGGTGAAAAAATCTGTAGATGCTGTGTCATGCTTTTCAAATGAAAGACAAGTGGTTTATTTCAGTGAATGATGTGATATGAGTTGTTGAAATATTTTGCTGCATTTGAACTCTTTGTGTCCATATATGCTGCAATTATTTACAAGGTCTTGTTTTGTGGCTCAACTCTTCTTGCTTTGTGTATCCTGCAGTATGTATCCCTCTTATTCATTGGGATGCTGGTCGTCATATCAGTTCGGGGATTCTTGAATAACTTAATGAAAGTAAGTTTACTTTTCCTTCTTATTAAATTTGTGTTGTATCGGTGTTCTCATGTCATACTTCAGTATTGGTAATAGGTATGTGAATCCTAAAATGGAGGATATGAATTATGTTGAGTGTCTTCCTTTAGGTAGGCCATTATAACCTTCTTTACAGTTTGCTAATTGAATAAATGAGGATTCTCTTCCAAGCAACTACCGTAAAGGCCAAAGTTTCCATTTTTAAAAAAAAAAAACTTCTGACCTATTAACTCTTCGGTTAACTTTTATTTTTCTTTTTATTTATTACTATTATTTTTTTTTTTAATTTAAGTCACCATGAGGGTGTGATGTCATTAATAATGAAAAAGAGTACAGAGAAACTTAGGAGATCACATCTGACTTCCATTACATATCTTCATGTGAATTTTTTATCAATTAGACACGGACTAATTTAGAAATAAAACATTTATCTGGCTAGTATTCACATGTCTAACATCCAATGCCTAACTTCAGAAATTTGGCTGTTATACAGTTTTTCTTTGCCGTTTCCAGAGTTGGGAGTGGATCTTCAAGCAATGTTGTCCTTTTTCTTTCTGAAATCATGGGAATGTATTTTATTTCTTCCATACTATTGATTAGGAAAAGCTTGGCGACGGAATACAGGTATGGTTCAATGTTGACTGTAGATAACCTCTTTTTGCTATTGAATTATAAACTACTTGGCATTGATTTTATATTCTTCGAGTCACTTGATTGTTTAACTACTGCTAATTTTTTCTTCTTCTTCTTCTCTCTGTGATGTGAATTTGCTGCTTTAAATTTTACAACTGATTTTTTGAGTAGTCGAGGAATGCTTCGAATGTTTTACGTAGTTTTTTGAAAATACTACACATGGTAAGTTTCACCGAACAAATTTCAGAAGGCACAGAAAGGTGCATAAACAAGTGAACGCTTTCAAAATTTTCCCATGATCTGTTATTTGTGCTTTGAATTCTTGGCTAATTTGTTAGTTTGTGCTTGATGGGTTCTCTTTTAGTATTTTCCAGTATATGAATCATTACTGAATCATGTAATATGGAATTTAAGAATTTTTATATTCTAATGTTTTATGTTGATGATCGGTAAAACTAATAAGAAATTTTCATTACCGAATCATGTATTTGCAGGATGATCATAACAGATGTATTGGGTGGAGACATACAATTTGATTTTTACCATCGGTGGTTTGATGCAATCTTCGCAGCCAGTGCATTTCTCTCTGTGCTTTTGCTTTCTGCACATTATACTTCTCGTCATGCTGATAAGCATCCAATAGATTGATTTGTTTACACGTAAGTGTTTGAAACTGGTTGAAATAGATTTTTAGTGGTATACTTTTAATTTGTGTATTCAAATTGATTTGTAGAATATACTATCCCTGGAGTTGATGTCTGAGTTCATAAAAAGCTGATTATATATATTTTACGTTCGTTGTTGGAGGAGGTGTTGTTTAGGGAATTAAACTTGTGTTAAAATCATTACATCTTTGAAACACAATGTATTGATTTTAGTTTCTTAGTTCCTGGTTGGTTTTTCGTAGAGCTGCCAGTGGCAAGTGCTATTCTGGCAGTGTGCATGAAAAAAGGCCTTCTTTTGTTACATAATGTTCATTTCCTTGTATCTATTCAGTATCTGGCTGCTGCTCCAAGTTGCTAGACAAAATGAGTGTGATGCCAGGGAACATAGTTGCATTAGCGTGTAATATTTTCATTGCAAAGAGCCTGTAAGGAAATAGGAATTCTGAGAAAGCTAACTCAAATTGGCTCTCATTCAGTTGAATGACTTTATACACATTGGTTTGGTAACGTGCTGGATTCTGGGCATTCATGACATCCATGTGTAACAATGTGACATTAATTGTTAGGTATTATGTCAGGGCACATATCCGTCTGATTCTTAACCTCATGAAATAATGTTTTTTCACAGGGCCGGTGCTTGGATGACGACATTGAATATGTCCAATAAAATGAGAGGTGAGTATTCTGTCTTCTATTTCTGTTCTTGAAATTATACTTTCCAGATGCTTTGAAATTATATCTGTTGCTGCTGATACTATTCAATTTAGGAAGCCCTGTGCCACCAAACCTGGAAAAGGAGAGGAGTAATTAATCAACAATTTATTTTTAACTGCAGGAATATCGTGTGGAGAAAATTTGATAAGAGAGAGTGAAGACTGTTGTAGATGCCACTCGAGCTGTACTACATAATCGTTTTGAGCAAAAAACATGAAGATACGTTGAATGAAAATAGTTTGTTATGAAAAATGGTGTATAATGTAGGTATTAAGGAATGCAACATTGTTAGGAGGGGTAAAATATAATGGATTCCATTCAATGGTGTTTGTTTCTCCAATTAGTGGTTTCATTTTTCTTGTTTCCTCTTAATAGTACATGGAGAAATGAATGAGTTCTCGAGATGTATTGTTTATGTACTAGCAATTATTGTGTTTGGCTTAATATCGATTTTGGTAAAACCTCAATGGCAGTTGTACTTGTTAGGAATCTACTTATTGTGTACACAGGAAAATAAAACAAATTTCGATTCCCATTAAGGATCCTTCTGTGTTTAGATAGAAATTATGATAGAGAGTATACATTTTTTTCTAAATCTGCAAATTCCTTTTCTTTTCCTTAATTTCAGCAGTCTTGATTTGCCACCTATAATTGTTCAATTGTCTAGCCTCCAATGGTGATCCACACAGAGAACAAGATTGTAGGATTATGGTTTTTCTTGTGCTAGCAAGAATAATGAATTCTCTACAAAATTGTAAACCTTAATAAGTTATTTATATAAGTCCAAACAGACTTGAACTGATCTGATCCAATGTTTAATTAATCCATTTAATTAAATATGATCCGTGAATTAATTAATCCAATTAATTAATTTAGGCCTATAAATAAGCAATTTAATTAATTAATTTATCCAACGCTTGTTAAATTAATTAATTGACAAATAACAATCTTTCAGTTCTCTATTTGTCTGCGACCCATTAGGTTCCCAATCACGATACCTAACGAGATGAAATATTATTTTGATCCAATCAAAATTGATAAATTAAAACATCCTTTTAATTTATCACCAATTCATATTCGCCGTCCTAAATTGACATCTAGCAATGTGTTAGGGCAATACATGTGAAGGGAAATGTCATGTGGTATGATAAAATTAAACTCGTTCGTTTATCGTGAGATTATAATCCCTTTGTCAATATGATGTGATTAATTACAAGATATGAAAGTGTGTTAATCTTGATTATCGATCATATCTTTAATTTCACCATTAAGTCAATATAAGTTGAAAAATCCTTTTCGACTAATGAGTACACCTTGGTCAAGGATTTCATTATCAACTTAATTGAATGAAATGCAGATTATAATTTCTTATTATTTAAGAATGACGAATCTTCTATTAGTCATTCACAAATTTCATACGATTTTTGACATACTCGAACGATGTCGTATTAGCGGCTTTTGGCAACATCCAACATCGTCAATGCATGATTGTCCTCATATAAGATACTATAACGACCTCAAGTCAAATGACCAATTCCACTACCGAACGTTAGAGATTAACTACTGACACTCATATAGTTATCTATGTGGAATCTCTAGGCGAGTTTCCAATGTTTTGTTCTATAACAAAATATCTACGTGTTCATTCAAATGTTACCACACTTTAACTTGTGAGATCGATTATTTACTTTACAAGTAAGAAATGCTACACGTGATGGTTTAACCGTAATAATGATATCCGTAACTTATTATTACTTGTGACCACGGACGATTTAAGATTCAATCATACGTAATTTATTTCTCACAATCACAACTCCTTGTGATTAACAAATTACGAAAATTTGAATCTACGAACTCTATTATTTAATTTAATTTAATTAAATAATAGATCTGCCATAAAATTGCATTAATTACATATTAAAAGCATTTATGGAACTAGGACATAATACTTACAGTAACAAGTTTGTTAGGTTGAATTATAACACAACAAGAGAATGGTAGAGTGGTAAGGCTTAATGGCCTTTGATATAAACTGTGTGCACATATGCCACCACCAAAAGATGTTTGGTTTTTATATAGGATATTGTTGATTCGAGTATTTGATCGCATAGGAAAATTTTGTGTTTGTTGAATGAGGACTTTCTTGTAAATTTTAGAACTTCAATATTCAAAACATAATTCTTTTTGAAACTCTCGGTCCTTCGTTGATTTAGATAAATATCAGATTTGTAGTAAATTGTACCCATACTTCGTTAATTTTGGCCAATTTTGCGATAATACAAGATGTGTAGAAGATTTATTTTTTTGAAAAGCCTTTTTCTTCAAAATCAAAATGAGAAAAAGTAAAATATTCTTCTTCTTTTTTACAATTGACAGATATCTGTTTTATCTTTTATTTAAAATAGCATTTCAATCAAAAGTTTCACCTTTTGGTGAAATTGATTCCCAACTCAATCTTTAAAATTAGGACATCAACGGAGGGAAATGGCCCTTCTTGTTATGATCGTATTAGGAATTTTTGAAAGGTTGACGGGGACTAAATATCGTCCGTTTTCTCATTTACTTACTTATTCATTTTGTTCAATATTATTTTTCAATTTTTAATATAAATTAAATTAAAAATTAAAAGTCGAGGCAGAAATCATATTCTCTATCCCCACCTCGATTCTCAACTAACCGGAAAATCCAATGGGGGTAGGGCATGTACAAGGTATTTTTCCTCCCTACTATAAACTCGAAGTTGATGTAAACATCACATGTACATCTTTTTCTAAAGAAATTCTAAGATCGGGTACAAGAATAGATATTTTGTCATAAATTTGCAAATTTCTCTAAAATAAAATTCTCACCCTTTATATAAGCAGAAGAAAATTTTAAATTATTTCAAAATGAATAAAACCCCTGTTTGAGCTCCTTTTTTCTCCTATTCTTTCCTAGCATTTTTTCTACGCTACTCATTTTCAACCACACATTTTTCATTAAAATAATATAACACGCAAATTAAAAATTTTCCTTTTTTCTTAACCATACATTTTTCATCAATTTACTATTTCATAATACATCACAAGAAATTAATGGGGCTCAAACATGGCCAAAATAAGCTTTGTACTTTATTTACTATGTTAAAATATAAATTAATTACAATTTTAAAAATTAAAGTGGTTAATTTGAGTTTCTTCTTGGTGGGCCCAAGTGCTTTGATGGTGGCAAATAGGATTTGGACCACGCACAGTAAGGGACAGAGATAAGAGAGATGTTGTAAACCTAATGCGCAAGATAGAGAACTGGCGCCAACACGTCACGTGCCCAGCACACGTGGCAGCTTTATTCACGCAATCTACGAAATTAAAATGACCATTTTCATTTCAAAAATCAGGAGCCGATAAATAAATAAATAATAATAATAATAATAAATAGAAATCCCAATTTGCACCTATTTCCTCAATCTACACTTCACAAATACATAATTCTCACGTTTACATACATACTCAGGTACATGTATGAATATATACACAAAGAGATAGAGAGAAGACGGAATCTAATATCTGTATTGTAGAGAGAAACGTGAAACTGAAATCGGAGCAAAATATCGGGACTGGCCTGTTGTTAATTTGCACAGATTTTTCTTTTTTTCTTCTTAATCTGCCCCAAATCTTATCTGGTAATTTTTTTACAGCAGAGCTTGTGTATTTTCCGATCCTAATTTTTAGTGTAATTTATTAAATTTATACACTCTGTATTTTGTCAACTGTGATGCTATTTTTAATTTGTTAAATAATTAATTTTGGCACCGTGGAGATAGAATTGATTAATAATTATATTTGTGCATTTGGTCTATTTATTGCCTGTATATGTGTGATTTTACGTGATTGAAATCCCTGTGGATATTGATGATTGATTGGCCTTGGATAGTAGGCGATGACCAGACACAAGGAGCGAACACTTGAGAACCTCTACAATGTGACTCCCGCTTTGCCTCAGCCGGAGGCATGTGATTTCTTTTCCGTTTTATGTTATTTTTGCCAATTTAGGGTTGAGTTAATTTGTGCGATTTTTGTGTGTTGATCTGTTTTGAGTTAATTTGCATTTTGTGCATCTTCAATTAGCTTTGGGTTTCAGTTTAAGCTTGATTTTCATTGATTTTTGTTAAACTTACTAGTTTACATGATTTATTTGTAAATTTTGCTCGTTCCTGGTAATTGTTATTCGGTTTTCACTTTTCTAAACCTTGGGAATGTTTTACTTGTGAAGGTAAGTTCTCTAGTTGTTCTATATGTATGTATCTATCTAAATAAATACCATTAGGTTTGGGTTTCTTCATATCTAGATACATTTAGAATGATAGAATTAACTTTTTTGCTGATAATTTTTATGAGATGATCCGGTTAGAGATTCAGCTGATGTGTGCGCATCAAAATTTGTCCATTTTAGTTTTCTGTCACATGACTCACGACTTCCACTGATTGTAGTCTTCACTGGCTTTCAGATTACTCCAGTCTTAAGTGGTAGCTGTAGGATGCAAGGGCCTGTTGATGAAGCAGATTATGACTTGCAGCCCGATATGGTGAGATAGATATCCGGGTAATTACATGCCCTGTATCTTACTCTTGCATCTCTATCTACCCCTCCCTCCCTCCCTCCACAGTAGAAGTTTCTTTACATTGATAGCGGGGTGATGGTATAAAATGGGGATTTGAGGTTTTGAGTGAGATTAAAAACCTATTGGTGCTGTTTCTTTCAATGAAAAAATGAGGGAAAATGGTTTGGAGTAATTAGGTCTTTTACCTGCCTGGTCCACACCAAATTCTAAATAATACGAATAAAAATGTTCATATAACTTTGGGAAATAGAAAATTATCAAGCATTTAGGCATCTGGGAGTATAGGAAAAGAAGAATAAAACCTTTTTCTTTTTTCAAAGGATTACTAGGGACTGTCCAAATTATCTCTTAATGTGCAACCTCTCTTTTGAATTTGGGTTTAAGCTATCTTGGATGTTTACCCCCACCATTTCTTTCTTCTGGTTATTGGAACTAAAACTTTGCTCATAGATAATTTATGATGGCTTATACAACTATTTTTTTGTTCTTGTTCTATTAATGTTGCTTTATTCCACATTGAAAATTTCTCCCATTCTTGAAACTTTGATCAAATTTTATATTTTTTTTGCCTCTTATTTTATGAAGTTCACGTATCTTTATATGTTTGAAGAAGCAAAGTTTGGTGGAAGTAAATTGCTTTGCTGCTGGACAGCAAGAATACGTTTGAGACTTAGTGATCAATTGTTGGAATAGTTTTGTGAGTTACGATGTTTAAAAGATAGGTGCATCAAGCCAATAATATGTCCCAAAATTCTTTTGTTTTATTTGTTCCTATCTCAGGACATTTATTAACTTTTAATCTTGTATGGGGTTTGCACCAGTCCTGTAGCTTGTGCCATATACCCTGGGATAAAAAAAAAAAGTTGTGTTGCATATTCAGTTTAAAGGATCACTCTGGTCATCTTTTGTTGTCATCATGTATGCTGTTTTTTGGCCCATACTTGTATTTTGTCTATTTATTTTTGTTTTCTGGTTGAATTGAGTATAAAAGAAATGACACTGTGATCTTGTTCGTTATGATAATGATGGTCATTCTGCAGGTCCTGTAAACTAGGTAATCAGACATGAAAGAAGGGTAAAAATCAATGTTCTACCTGTTAATTTACTATTTTCATGGTGTGCGCTCAAACCTGGCCAACAAGTTTTTAGATTTGACTACATTTTTTTTTTCCTGCTGCTTATAAGCATTGATACTCAAGCCTTTGATGTATCTTTAATCGACAAAAGCTATCAATAGTCATATATTTCTTCTTATTGGCACTTTATTTCTTTTGTACTTAATTTTTGATATTTGCTTAGGTATCTCAATCTTATAAGGATTCCACCAGCTTTTCTGATAAAAGTCAAAAGGTCAACGTAAGGGCAAAGTCCGGAACTTGTAACGTGTGCTCTTCACCTTGCTCCTCCTGCTTGCATAATTATCAGGTCTTGATGGTTACAAAGACTGATAAATTTTCCGGAGAAACCTGCACAGGAAATGCTGTGTTTGACCGGGGCATCCGATTTGATATCGGACAAAACAGCGAGACCAGCAATGTAGTATGCATAAATTCTACTTCTGATTCTCTCTCTGAAAATGTAGCAGGTAAAGCAACCTTGAGGACGTCTGATGCATCAGAAGATACTGTGATGCTTTCGCACTATGATGGAGTGAAAGTTCTAGAAGGGCATGATGATAATTTGTCCTGTATAAGTGCATCTAATGAGGTAAAAGTGTTTACCAATGGTGTCCGAAATGTAGATGGGACAAATCTACCCTGTTCAACCACTTCTAGTCCAGTTGAGAAATCTCAATATACAATTGGTTATCAGACTTCATCGCAGCACATGGATAAATGTGATATTGAAGATGGTATGAAACTGACTAGCAGGCAGAGCAAGTTTTTTGGAGAATTCTCCGACAAGGTGCCCTCTAGTAGGTCACCAACTGGCTTGTCTTCACAAAATTCAAGCTTGATGAAAATTCCCCTAAAAAGCACTTATGATTCTCCTGAGTTGGTGAAGGTAGAGAACACTCTTTCACAAGCTTCCAATGGAAAATCTCTCTCTGGTGATCCAAATTTGATGGACTTGGAAGAAAATTTGCATCCTCTTCCTCAGGGGACACAGTCGGAGTGCTCACACGATCAATTGAATTTGATGTCGTTGAAAGAGGCAGTATCTGATGTTATTTGTGATAATCCACTGGGTGGTACTCTGAATTCCATGAAGAAGAATGAAGATATGTTGGAAGTCCAGCCTTTAAATGTGAGCAACGACTCTGATATGGAAGAACAGGATGTGAGTAAGAATGTTTCCTTGCATCTTGTAAAAGATTTATTCTCTTAGTTTGATTTTTTTTATGTGCTAGTGAAATTGTTATCTAGGATGTGTTTATGCTCACTTTTTTCTTGTCTTGGTTTATCTTATGAATGGGAACTGCAGATTCTCATTCAATATACGCACATGTAATAAACATAAGTCCTGTTTGATGTACAGAGTTTCCTTTTAGCCGATCAAGAATGTAGCATCTTTTGTAACAAACATTATCCATGTTTAGTGAAGCTTGTGATGACCCGATTTGTTGCTACCAGAATTATATCCAGACTTGTGGATCCATTTATAGATAAATCTAGATTTACACAAGTACTTGAGTGAATCACTTCATTGTTTAACTAGTCCTTTGATTAAAGGTACGGACTTTTCTGGCAGGAAGAACTAGTAGATTGGGCTTAATGGATTCTGAAACCTATTTTAATTTGGTTGCAGATCTCCCTTCCTCCACCTCTATACCCCATGGTCCCCCAACCGAGATGGCTTTTTTTGCATTTATTGTGGCCCATTTATGTGGGTTTTTTTATGTTGCTGTTTTTCAGGAGTTGAGATTTACTTCATTTATAAATTCTTTCTCAATTTATTTCTGATCAAGTCTCCGGTTGTTAATAGGTCAAAGTTTGCGATATCTGTGGGGATACAGGTCGGGAGGATCTGCTCGCTGTCTGTTCTCGGTGTAGTGATGGGGCAGAACATACGTAAGATTTAATCTTTATTCGCATATGTGCAATATTATTCCTTCTTTCTGCATTGTACATTAACATTAACCCATTTATCTCGTCTCAGTTACTGCATGGAAGAAATGGTGACTAAAGTCCCAGAAGGTAACTGGCTTTGTGAAGAATGCAAGGTCGAGGAGCAAATGAGTAATCAGAGGCAAGATAAGATTGGATGGATAGATGGGAATGAAAAGAACAACTCCTGTGGTCAAGCAAGTAGTGAAAATAAAATTAGTTTTGATGTTGAGGGGAACAGAACAGAAGGTTGTTCAGATATGAAAACTTGCGGAAAACGGCCTAGGGATGATAATGAAGTTTCTTTTATGGCAAAAAAGCCTGCCATCGAATCAATCATGGGGTCACCAAGAAACTCCAATTCTAGCAAAACAGCTGCTCTTTCACGTGAGAGTTCATTCAAGAACTTAGATAAGGGAAGAACGCAGCCTGTAAATCTCTCTTCTTCTGCCACACTGCCAGTTAATGATACTCTGGAATCAGCATGCACTTCTCCGGATTCACGAATACAGGCATCTCGAGGTTACATTATCTGATATTTTCGTATTTTGTGACAGGCTCATAATTGTACTTGAAGATTTTTACTTTCTTTTTCCGTGTTTTTTTTTTTTTTTTTTGGCCTCCAAGTCAATGAAAGCTGCTCCTATAGTTTTAGTTTTAATTTGCATGGTGCAATGCAGGTACATTATCGAAGTCTCATTCGTTCAATTTTTTGAATTCAAACTCAAAAGTCAAGCTTGTAGATCAAGTTGCTCTTCAGAGGTCAGTAAGGGTACCTGCCTCTATACATCTGAAGGATGGTGCAGTCAAATCTATGGGAAAATCTATGTCCTTCAAATCTACAAACTCGGGCCGGCCTGAATCAAAAGTGAAGATGATATCCCCTAGACTAACCCATGTCCAGGATATGAAACATAGAAAAGAAAGAAGCTCATTTGAAAGAAAGAGCTCTTTCAAATCAGAACGTCCATTGATTAGTTCAATAATGGCTAAGCCTGCCATTTCTACATCTAACAGTGAAAAGAAACTAGTATCTCTGGGTGAATCTTCTTCTCTCGCGAAACGCTATGAAACCAAAGCTGCACAAACTGACAATAAATCAATGGGTTTATTGAAATCATCCAGTCTTGTAGCCCGAAGGAGTTCAGATTCACCTTTTTCTTCAGGTATACTTTGATTCATTTCCTGAGTTTGCTCTTCATATCTTTTCCTTTTGTATTGCTTCAAATGCTTTCATAATTAATGTGACCAGGCGAATTTAAGACACCCTCTTCTTACGCGCATAGTACTACTGGAGTTTCATCTACCAATGTAGTTGGCAATTTTGAAGAGAAAATTAACCAGATTGTCTCAGAGGAGGACTCCTCATCATGTGCTGGTGTTTCCGAGAGACTGCCGTGTAATACTAATGAAGACCTACATGATGGACTTCTTCAGCCTAGGGAAGCAACAAATTCTGGTGAGCGAATGAGGGAGCATTCTGGGAATCACTTGTGGCAGGGTAATACTAATGGTGGAAGGGCTATTTTGTGTAAAAAATGTAAAGAATTCGGACATGTGGCCCAATCTTGCATGTCTGATGATCCTGGGTTTCCTGCTGTTAGTCCAACTATAAAATTTTCCAGGGACGAAAATGATAGTCTAAAAGTGGCTATTGAGGCTGCTATGCATAGAAAGCCTGGAGTTCACCGTAAACATAGAGCTTGGGCCCAATCTGATGAGTCATCTGTTTCGAGCATGAAATCTGAAATAGATTGTCGAGATCAGTTGTCAAGTTCAGGTGACAAGAGAAATGTGTCCTCTGCTGCAGAGATTATTGAGAGGCATACAGTACCCAGCAGTTTGACTGAGGACTCTGTTAAACAAGAAACTTGTGACACATCAAAGCAGTTGATGTTGGTTCCTGTTGAAGCTCTGTCTTCCGGAGGAGGAGAGTCAGTGTCAGTTGTTCCATTGGATGGGAAGTCTTCCTTACAAGGCACAGTTCCTATTTGCTTGAAATCTTCGGCTATTCCTGAGCATGAGTACATATGGCAGTATGTTATCTTACTTTCCCCCACCAATTTTATGTTTTAATAATATCTGCTTAGTTGTTTTTCTGGACTCACCTCTGGATGTTCTTTCATCCTCAAACTAGGCTTTACTTACATGTGTTCCTTGAATGCAGAGGAAGTTTTGAGGTTTTTAGAAGTGGTAAGATCCTTGACTTACGGGAAGGAATCCAAGCCCATTTGTCGACGTGTGCATCACCTAAAGTTATTGAAGCAGTAAACAAGTTTAACCATAGAATCATCCTAAATGAAGTGCCTCGTTTAAGCACATGGCCGGTACAGTTTCAGGAATTTGGTGTTAGAGAAGACAACATCGCACTCTTCTTTTTTGCCAGAGATTGTGAGAGGTAGCTCTATTTTAGCCTTTATGTTTTTTACCATCAAAATTTTCATATTATTTTCTGCGTCATCATTATCATTTTTCTCCGATTTAGTTTCTCTGTTTCCATTGCTACAGCTATGAGAACAGCTACAAAATTTTGCTGGAGAGCATGATGAAGAATGACCTTGCTCTACAGGCAAATCTTAATGGTGTCGAGCTCTTGATATTTCCATCTAACCAGCTTCCTGAGAATTCTCAGCGTAAGCAAACAACATAAATATTTCTTGTACAGAATATTTTTGTCCAAGAATTCTTAAAATTTCTCTCATTTGATGCATATGGTGAATGCATTTTGTGATGCTCAATAAAAGCTATTGCATCTCATGCCCCTGAAAATTGACCGTGATGAGTAAAGTTCATGCATCGCATTCTGGGGGCTTGCCTAGATGAAAACTTTCAATATGATGTCAGATGAAGTTATTATTGCTTGGTAAAATTGAGTGTCCATGCTGGTGGGACCTCAATCGACATGAACAGTATTTTTTGGCAGCTTGTCTACTGTGAAACTCCTGTTATATTATATCAAATGGAAGGTGACACTGCTAGGTAAAATTGGGCATGGCTGTGTAGGTCTGACCTCAACCAACACAAAGGTTGCTGCTATCGAGGGCACTTAAGTTAGACATTAATTTTGCTTCTCCTCCAGTTTTATATTCCTTTTTCATTTCAGACGATCTTTATTTGTTTATTATCTTGGTGGAGATGCATTCCTGTATTATTAAGCAAAGAATTCTCATCTTCAGGGATCTTTTGCTGGTTGTTCTATTTTTTGCTCTGATTTATAAGCAAGATAGTAAATAAAATTGCAGTTCTTATTCTATTAAAGCTACTCCATATTTGCAAGCAACTCTACAATTTTCTTGCCATCATTTACATGCAGGTTGGAATATGCTATTCTTTTTATGGGGCTTGTTCAGAGGAAAGAAAGAGTATTGCTCACAACATCTGCCTGAATCCTCAAAGCAGTTTTGTACACCTCCAGATATTCCCCCAGTTATAATGTCCTTGCCTGAGAACAAATACTCTCTTGGGCCTATAGCCAAGGATTTGTCTGCATGTGATGATGTAGCCCCATCACTGGATGTGTCTGCTTCAGGAAAATTATGGAGTTTATTGTCGTCTAAAGTTGTAAATGGAGATTTTGATACCAAAGTACTTTCTGTGGATCAGCTGGATGATAGAATAGATTCCATTTCCTTGTCTACCGAACGAAGTACAAGTGCAAAATTGTGCCACGAAATGAGTGGCACTTGCCTGGTATTGCCTATTCTTTTTGACATGTGCATATAATTATTCTAATTATAATCTTGTTCTCTCTTCTTAT